ATGATTTGTCTGTTGTTATTTAACTAAATTGTCAAAATGCATACGTTTACATAGGATATTTGACACTTTTAAGAAAATAAATAGTTAAAAATGATATTCAATGCATAGTCTATATAAATGTTGTGTTTTCCATTTATGTGACTTAATATAATGGATGATGCATCATCGTCATCATCATGTATACTCTTAACATTTATCTACACATGTAATTATTTTTAAGTAAAATTCACACAGTTTTTTTTTTTTTTTAATGACTTTGATTTGTTTGGGAAGTTTTTGTTGTTGAAAAACAAAATACTCTCCACTCATTATTTTCACATTACAACTGTAAACCAGTATGAAAAATATTTACAACACAAATGCTACATATGATATAATAATACAGTTTAGAAAGTAAATATTATAGTATACCAGGCCCCTATCTAAACATTGCATATCATACACAACTATTTATATGATTCACTATAATATAATACAATCTATCATAAAGACGTTCAAATGAAATCTCTCAAATATGTCTGCAAAAACAAGAAGAAAAAAAAAAAACATACATAAAAGATCTGTGCCTGTGTGTGTGTGCGCACTGGAGCAGATGGAAGCACTCACAGAGTTTCATTTCATTCCAATCTGAAATGTGTCGCATTAAAAGCTGTCGAAATGAAAACAATGGAAATTGGGTCAGTAGTGTTTGTACCTGAGTTCCAGAGGAATAGCGAGCGCTTGTCCGTGTTGTTGAGGTCTTTGTGGAGCTGTGTGAGCTCTCTGTCGTGATCCCGCTACAGCAGTACGTGTGTCGGAGGCATTTGCTGTACTCTCTCCGAACCTGCAGTTCAAAGGAATGCTTTTTTTTTCTCTCTTTTCAAGTGAACTTTTTAACATGTGCTTCTCGTTAAAATCGAGTGCTGCCGCAGCTCGGGTGGAACAATATATTTCAGGAAGCACTTACTTTCTTCTGAAGCAGGCAGTGGAAGGTGAAGATAAACATGCCCTGGAACGTGTTGAAGATGGTGAAGAGGTACGCTAAGACAACGGACGACTCGCTGATGAAGAACAACCCAAATGACCAGGTCAGGCCCAAGAGACACAGCAGAACAAAGCCGCCCATGACCCATGACCTTCGAGAGCACATAAAAGAGAAACAATGAGGCATGAGAGAGGGACGTTTCCTTCAGCAAAGAGCAGAAATCATTACAGCATCACAATCTCAGCAAAACAATACAAATCAAACACAGGTTCTGAAAATCATTTGGACTGACATCTTAGGCACAAGTAGATGGGAAATGCAGTGGAACATATCATTGAGAGGTTAATCAATACCATATGGAAGCGGGATTGTCGTAAAGAAGGTTTAATCAGTTTTGAGGCAGTGGAGTGTGGAGATATTTTCGCATGCCACTATACTGGGTATAGACGCATGATACTGGGCTGCATTCAGACGGAGGGGAAAGAGAAAGAGCAGTAATCATCTCTGATTGGTCCATTTTAGTGGAGGAGGCGCTGACAACAGGTCTCGGCTGGCTAAGGAACCAAAGAGATAGAGCTTGCTTTCATCAGAGGAGAGATGAAACAAGAAACCAACATATGAGGATTTGAAGGCATGAGGAATAGGATGGCTTTACGGTATAAAGATTTGTATTTATTTATTTTGAGGGTAAGGGTGCATTGAGATCTATAAATGAGGGGTATAATGGATGGAGCTAAGGATGCATTGATTTTAAAATTCTATCAGATGCGAATAAGCTGATCTTTTTCTTTTTTCTTCCAAGTTATGGCACATAACTGATAAATGGCTAATATTAAAATACTATTGTGTCTAAAAATAAATAAATAGCTAAAAAAATACATAACACTATATGAATAATTTGTAAAACAATACTATACAATAGAAACTAATAATACCTAAATAATACCTACTTTAAAACCGTGAATTTTGACAAGATTATAAGGCACAGTATAAAAGATGGATTTAGACAGACAGACAGACAGACAGACAGACAGATAGATAGATAGATAGATAGATAGATAGATAGATAGATAGATAGATAGAT